AGCTTCAGTCCAGTTTGAACTGAATGTGTTTTTATTGCCTGAAGCTCGAGTCTGCCACAAAAAACTGGACGACTTCTTCATCCAGGTGGAGCTTCCTCTCTCTCCTCTAACCGCTGGCGTAGTGCGTCTTCTCGGAGCTGGACGCTTCCTCTCCGTGATGATGCCAGCAAAGGCGGTGCCCCCACCTGAGCAGGCGCTGGAACACCTGAAGGCAGCAGAGGAGACGTGAACACACGGAGACGTAGCACAAAGAATCCAGAACTGCAGTCTGTGTGAGAACTTTGCAGCTGCAGAGGTGAAACTCCAGGACAAGAAAACATTTTTAAAACTTTATGTTGAGTCAAAAATCGGTAACGTTTAAGCAATGTGTCGAATCAGATTTGACTGATGTTTTATGTCCCAGTGAAAAACACCTCTGAGAGCAGACCTCCGTGAAACGTGGTTCTACAGGCAGGAAGCCACTCACCGTCCTCTGTCCACGGCTGATGATGCGTTTCCTGCCGCTGCTGGAAATCCGGCCGTGAATGTGCAGGTTGTAAAGGAACAAGATCCTCGTCTTCTCCCTCTGACACACAGACAGAGACGACGTTTTGTTTTACATGCATGGAAAGTCTTTATATGCTTCACATTTCTGTCTGAAGACCTGAAATCTAAAACGCGATTCAGTCGCTTGGATCAAAGCTGAGAGAAGTTTAGCTGGGACCGGCCTGCTCTTCATCACCTGGTGCTGACTGTGTGCCCAGGTGAGTGACGCTCTGCAGCAGAAACATGATATATTCTCTGTATGTGCAACAACACACATTATTATTATGTCACTGATTTAGTTTAAAGCGATGTTTTCTTGCCAGTGTTGCATTAAAATGACTGTCACCTGATCTCATCTGTATACAATGTTCACGTGTTTACACTTCTGTAAAAATGTGCAGAAATATAACACAAAGCTGTTCTCCTGTTACAGCTGCTGTCGGCACAGGTTCCAGGTCAGAACCAGAGCTGCAGGACTGGAAGCTTCCTGAGGAAACGGCCTGAATGGAGCAGATTTAAATAAAGTTTGAGGATAAAGGAACGTCTCGATCACGGCTGTATCCGAGTACTCTCTGATCCTCCGTGTGAACGTGTCAGCAGCTGATGCTGGACTGCGAAGTGCTGAGTGTGAATGTGCAGACCACGTGTGCACCTGAAGCTCATTCATTCGCAGCCTCGCTCGCTCTCTCGCTCTATCTGAATGTCTCTCGGCCACAGTCAGCTCAGCTGTAATGCTCTTACACTAATCTGCTCTCAGATCAGATTTACAGCATCTCCCAGGGTTTAAACAGAGCGTGCGTGCTAATGAGTTTGAGCGGTTTACTTCTTCATCAGTTCAGGAGAGGAAGTGACATCACGGCGTGCGCTCAAACCAAGACAAACACTCGTTTCATGTTTCTTTGTTTACTAATAAACACAACAAATACTGCTATTGTCGCTACAGACGGCACAGCGACCCGGCCGCTGCACGCGCTCCATCCGAATCTCTGTTTGTCTGTTTGTGATCAGTCGTGACCAAACACAACAAACACCGCCATGAGGAAATGGACACACACACACACACACGCACACACACACACGAAGGAAACGCTTTGATATTCACTGAAGTCTGAGCTGAACGATCACCGAAACACAGAGAACTCGAAATGTTAACGCCACACAAACTTCTGATTTTACACAAATCAGAGATGCAACATCAGTTTTGTTCGCATTTAATGTCTCTGTATTTTCAGTCCTTTATTTATCCTGATTAAAAATCTCATTTCCAAGAGAGACCTGGCATCATGGCAACAAAAGCAAAGATACACGTACCACACAAGTGTATAACATTTAAAACAAATACAACATCCTGTACGAACATGTGAAAAATATACAATAACAGATCGAATTCAGAGCGACATTAAAAACCATCACACCGAGTAAAAGAGTTATTCTCCTTTAAGACGGACTTAAACTCCCCGAGGGAACCAGCTCTGATCCTTTCAGTTCCTCCTGCAGATGATTCCAGGAAGCAGGGGCGGCGTGTTTAAAAGCCTTTTTCTCCAATTCTGTTCTGATTGTTGGGACAATCATTTGTATGATATTGTGAGAACGCAGGCTGTATTGGTTGTGGTTTTTACACATATAAACACACAGATAAGAGGGAACCAGCCCAAGCAGAGATTTATAGATAAAGATCAACCAGTGGGAGAGTCGGAATATGCAAAAGGTGGATTTCCATAGCCAGTAATAAAACATGAAGCACAATGGTACACAGTTTCCAACCTCGTAGGCGGTGTGCAGGTGCATTCATAAAAAGCAGGTCACCATAATCCAATAAAGGTAAAAAAGTTGCATGAATCAAGCGTTTTCTCACTTGGAGGGAGAAACAGGAAGGATTTCTAAAAAAGTAACTTCGTTTTAGTTTTAACTTCGACACAAGCCTTTGAATGTGAGTCTTA